ATCAATAAATACTAACCTAATGTTTAGATCTTGAAATATCTTGTGGGCTCTCACGAATATTCTTATTTGTGGTGCACCTTTGATTTTAATTATAATACCAACACTTCCAAGTGGTTTGAATAATATAAAGCATCATAGTAGTCCATAAAAAATTTACAAATTTTTTATGGCAGGAAAATATCATAGAGCATAAGCAAAGGTGGAGGGCAAATTAAGTCATGGCCATATAATGCACTTTGAATCTAGAGACCCCCAAGAGGAATTTTCTTAACGTGAGTATCATATTAATCACCAAGCCACACTTTTTTTCTAAGGATAATTAATAACTGCACTTAGCAAGCATGAGACTACACGTGCATGAAGACAAAAGTATCAAGGGAATATTTAATAAGGGAATATGTAGGTCATGGGGTATTTTATGATTGTCACTCAATCTCACTAACATGCAAGCGTTTGGAAGATGAACTTAACTTCGATGGCTTTTGTCACTTCAATATCTTCTCATTATTTTTGTCTTACTATTTTTCTCTCATAATTTTTCTTTAGCTTCCAACCGTCCCTCATCTGTAGCTTTACTTTTATTTATATAGATTCATAAATCTAGGGTTTCTCTAAAATTTTTATTGTATTGTGATCTATATTTTATATATTCTTATATTATTATTATTATTATTTAGAGATTAGATATTAATTGTTATCTTATCTACTATTATATTCTAATTATTATATTATTTTGGAATGTTTGAATCTTAATATTACATACTCCTTCGGTTTAAAAATATAAGGCATTTTTAATTTTTGAGGTGTAATCATTGTCTTTTTTTTTCAAAATTTTCCTATTGATAATGACTTTATATTTATTGTAGGGTATTTAATAGAAGTAAATATGAAAAGATAGGGTTAGTTTAAAAGTAGGTAACTACTTTATTAGAAATGAGATTCGGTTAAAAATGCCTTATACTTTTAAACGGAGGGAGTATTAGATTATATTATTGTGAAGTTTTCAAATCATAATATTAGATTAGATTATATTCTTGTTATTATATTATTTTGAGATATTCAAATATTTATAGCTCATTATTACATTAGATTGTGATCTAGCTTGATTACATTTGTGTCATTTTTAATTATCTTTAAATCAAAGATCTTGTAACTCTTTATTTATTTATTTTCTTGTTATAAAATATTTTCCTATTTCCTATTTTCATTCTTATTATTTTATAGAGATTGCTTTTATAAAATATTTTCCTATTTTTCATTTTCTCTTCTTTATTATTTTATTATGGATGTTACTTTATTTATTTATTAGAATCCAAACAAAATATGGTGTTCATGATACCTTACAACCTAGATAACAAACATGTTATTGGTAAAGTATATATAAAATTAGAACACTTGAATGCCATTAAGAGACCTTTAGATCAAAAGAAGTAACTATATACTTTGTTCTTACCGATAAAATCAAACAAACATCTAAAAAGAAAAAAGGCCTAGAGGGACCAAGCAAGTATATATTGTATCTCAACTCTCTTCAATATGATAGTTAAATGGAGGATGGTGTTTGCAGTGCTATCAGAGCTTGTGAAGTTGTGAAGCTCACCAGTGACGGCAGACTCTAGTTCCACCAATGCTTTGAGAGTCTCTAAATGGTTGTATGTCACACAAATGAAAAACAACTTTGCCATTATCACAAAAACTCAAAGATTCAGGTTTTGCTTTGATCAACTCTCGCACTACCTCATTTCTCCCTCTCATAGTTGCATAATGTAGAGGAATTCTTCCTTATTCATCTCGAAACAAGCATGGCTGGTTATTAAAACTTAGCAATTGATTCACTATGTGGATGTGACCCTCTACAGAAACCAAATGGAAGGCTGTTCTTTGAGAGGAGTCCATCTCAAGGGCCAGATTAGGTTTATGAGTGAGGAATTGTTTTGTGAATTCAAGGTGGCTAAGTAAAGATGAGATGTGTAAAGGAATTTTGGTGAAGAAGTTTGTGAAATGTTGTGCAAGATATGTGAGTTTTGGTGCATCAATGATTTTAAAGTCGATACATCCCCACTATATGCTGCCTCATAAAGAATGCTCATTTGATCAACTTTCGATGACAAGTTCTCATTTCGTTGAGTTCCATGATAATGCATCATTGGGGTGCCCTTTATATAAATGTTAGTGATTGAACCTTGAAAGGTCCAATTTATTCTTTCCTACCTCTCATTTCTTTTCTATCAACGCACGAGTCTTTTTTCCATTTCAAGGAGTAGAGGAACCTTCAGGTATTTTAATATTGTGGAAGAGTAGCCAGTTTGTTACGTGGAACTGAAAATTCATTGGATTAAGAAAATCATTTGAAGTTGAAAGTCAACTGTGGTGAGCTACTCTTGGTTACTTTACTATCTTCCTTCGTGCCTAACTTTGAGCATGTATTAGATTCTGATTAGTTTACTTTGATACGTGAACGTAACTAATTGGTTATAGATAAGGGAAAAGTCCCTGACTTTGAATTGATAAGCAATGCAAGGCTAAACGAGTCAGATGAAAGCACACTTGATATGATATACAGCAGCCCTTGGAGCACTTGGTGGCACCGTGATGCTAAAAGACAAGGGAAAATGAAAATTGAGAACCCATAAGATCATTAACTATAATTAAGAACCTTGAATTTTAGAAATCTAATAATGAATCATGGTTCTTACTTAGAATTAAAAATATGAGTTTAAAATTAAAAAAAGACTACTAAAAGCACTATTATGAGTTAGGACTATTGTTAATTTTAATTAGGAAAACTAAGAACCACACTTAGGATTGAGTTGTTTTATAATATGAAATTAAAATTCACTTATAAAACTTTTGAAAGACACTTGTGAATATACATAATCACTTGAAAATTTAATAAAGTCACTTTTAAATTTGAAGCCAATCACTTATAAATTTGTATGCTTGTTAATGCATAGGTAAACCACTAGAAAAATCAATAAAACATATTGTTGAAATTACTATAATGGATTAGGACTATTATTAATGTTAGTTTGAAAAAAAAAATCCTAAAGCTTTATGAGTTGAGACTACTAAAATTATTATTATGAATTAAGACTATTATTAATCTCATTTTCAAGTGTAGATTCTAGTTTTTTCAATTGAGATAACAATAATCTCAATCCATAATAATAATTTTAATAGTGTATTTTTTAATTTTAAATTTCAAGTAAAGATTATGGTCTATTTTTGGGATTTTAATATTTCAAAGTTTTTAATTATAATTAATGATCTTATAGGTCCTTAATTGTTATTTTCCAATAAAAAAAAGCATTTATAAGACGTGTGCGAGGCATTTGTTCAAAGAATGAAAGACGTCAATGAGTGGGAGATATATCATATATTGCATGGCTATAAAAAAGAAAAAGGGTCTCAATATGGATGCATCTCAGACTCTCGCGATTCTTTTCCTTCTACTCTGCTTCTATGAAGTATCCCTTTCTGTATGCTTCGCATCTTTCGTCTTTTATGTGGACTTGATTCTTTTCCATTGCGGTTTTTCTTCACTGCACTTCTACCGGACATTGTTGGTTCCATTTGAACCCAAATGCTAAGTAATGCATGTTGGCTAAACAAGTCCGATATGTGGACAATTATTTCTCAAAGGTATATATATATATATATATATTTTGGATTTGAATCCAAAATTTTGTATTCAGTGATCATAGTCCTTTTCACTAGAACGAATACATGTGGATACCACCTTTCCTTTTACTACCTGACACTGTAGCTCATGCCTTCATAGCATATTATATTCTTCATAATTGAAGACTGGACTTTAGACTAAGAACTAGCATTTCAACCTTGCAAGTATAAGCCAGAATGCTCAAACTAAATTGTTCATATTTGGACTTGGGTTTAGTTTTTTTTTTTTTACCAAAGAGAATCTCCATTAAAGGAAACATAAGAGTTTATAAACTGGAAATAACGAAACCAACGTAATAGTCAAAAGTCAAAAAAGCAAAGACCTTGAATAAGACGAAACAAAAGAAGATGCAACAAATCAACCAATTCCTTCTCTGTCACGATTCAACACAGGACGCTGGAAAGAAGACTGAAAACAATCAGAGTCCTTGAGGAGAAGACAAATAAGAGGAGGTGGTGGACAGAAGACCCATCCATTTGCATCCACATCCTTTAAAGGGGAGGCTGCCATCCAATCAGCAGCAGAATTACCTTCACGTTTGACAAACGAAAAGGAGAGAAAATGCAAGGACTTTATGATAGTCAATAAATCTTCCAGCAATCCATAGCAAGGCCAGGGAAAATAAGAAATATCCTTGTGAATTAAGGTTCGAAAGAGATCAAGACAATCCAGCTTTATAATAACCTTGCCTTCATTAAATTCAGAGGCTAATTGTACTACTTTCTTGCAAGCGAAACTTGGGTTTAGTTTTAACCAATGTAATTCAAGATCAACCATCATCCTCACTATATTGAATAAGTGTTTGGTTCAAGTGGCAACTACTTATACTAGTTTAAAAAGAAATTTCAAACTAGATTCTTGAGCTTGATTGGAATTTTTTTTTATTATTCTAAGAATTAGTGTTTTGTATAACATGTTATGGGAATAAAAAAATGATAATAAAAATATTTTTTTCATTTCCTTTTGTTCTCTAAAATAATGATTTTAAAACATTTAAAAAATGTTTTTATTTTTTATTATTCGGAACAATCTTTTATTTTATTTTTTTAGAACATAAAATTATCTTTAGAACAAGTTACCATACAGATCTTAAAGTTTTATTTAACTTCTAAATACTGCACGCTAGTTTTTTTTTTTAAAAAAAAAATTACTGTGCAAGTTACTACATGGTGCACTTCACATGTGATCACAACTCCAGTCACCGGATAAGGGTTTCCACGTCACTCGCGGATTCGGACAACACGTCCCCCTCATTCATTACTCACACGTGTCACTTTCGCTGTACTATCCTCGCAAGCTCTGCTGCGAGATTCCCCCCTGCAGTTGCCTCTGTTCCCGGTCACCGGTCTCGCTTTCCCTTTCACGCCATGCCCGCGAATCGAAACCTTAGCATTATTCTCTCTCTAGATGAGTTCCTCCTTGGAGGCTAGAACTCCCCACTCAGCCTCGCCTGGTTTTGTACTCGCTCACTGTATATGCTTCTCTGATGTTGGTGGTTGGCTAGAATTTTCCGGCGAGGTTTGATTATCAGTCGCCGGTGGCGAGGATGATCGGTTTCCTGGTATGATGCGGTTGTAGTTCCCTGTTTGTTTACTCAGAAATGTTAGATCTATTCATCGTGGCTCATGTTCGATCTAAAACCTGGTTCCACAAGAGGAAAAAATTGGCTTCATTTGGTTAATTCCTTCCGATGTTTTCTTCAAATTTGTAACGCATGTTATTGGATTGCCGATTGTACAGCTCGTACAGTTAAATTTTTTTAACAAGAAGTTTCCCTTTCTTTGTTTTCCGTGTTCCTTTGTTGGATTGTGGGGTTGTACAGTTAGTGTTTGAGATGACGAGGTTTGGAAGAAATTGAACTATCGTTTGTTTCTGGATTATATCTGGCATTTTGTTGCATTTTTGGAGGTTTAAAAAAATGGCGAAAATGAGCATGAGTGAGAGCGATGCCGAGGAAGAATCGGCACAAGAAGTTCAAGTCCCGACTGATATTGATTGGCATATGCTTGATAAATCGAAGTTTTTCTTCCTCGGTGCTGCCCTTTTCTCAGGGGTTTCAGCAACTTTGTACCCGATTGTTGTATTGAAAACCAGGCAGCAAGTAGCTCAATCCCGAGTTTCTTGTATTCAAGCTGCATTTTCACTTGTCAGGCATGAGGGTTTCCGAGCATTGTACAGAGGTTTTGGTACTTCCTTGATGGGTACAATTCCAGCTCGAGCACTGTATATGGCTGCCCTGGAGATTACTAAGAGTAATGTAGGTACTGCCACGGTTAAGTTAGGATTTGCAGAACCAACTGCAGCTACTATTGCCAATGCAGCTGCAGGTTTGAGTGCTGCCATGGCAGCACAACTTGTGTGGACCCCCGTTGATGTGGTGAGCCAAAGGTTGATGGTTCAAGGTGGTTATAATTCAAATAATTCTAAGGCTTCAGCACATCTGTATGTCAATGGGATTGATGCATTCAGGAAAATTCTGATCACTGATGGTCCCAGAGGTTTGTATAGGGGGTTTGGGATATCTATTTTGACGTATGCACCATCAAATGCAGTTTGGTGGGCTTCATACTCGGTTGCACAAAGGCTGATTTGGAGTGGAATTGGGTATTACTGGGGCAAGAGAGATGATAAGGTCAGCAATTTGGCAGCTGATGTATTGAGGCCAGATTCAAAAACCGTAATGGCAGTTCAGGGAGTCAGTGCAGCAATGGCTGGTGGCATGTCTGCCCTAATTACCATGCCATTAGACACAATCAAGACAAGACTTCAGGTCTTGGATAGTGATGAGAATGGTCGTCGAGGACCAACAGTTATGCAGACTGCGAGGAAATTGCTTAAGGAAGGTGGTTGGATGGCCTGCTACAGAGGGTTAGGACCTCGATGTGCTTCAATGTCAATGTCTGCGACAACAATGATCACCACATACGAGTTTTTAAAACGGCTTTCGACAAAGAATCAAGACGTTCTGACAAGATAGAAGATTTACAACAAAAGAGGAAACAGAAAGAAAAGAGGTTTTTCTCCCTCTCTTCTATGCCTAACTCCTCATTTTCTCTCCACTTATCTCACCTTTCCCACCTTTTTTCCCCCTGGTTTTTCACCTTTACCTGGCCAGCATGCTGCTTGATCAATGTAGGTTATTGCTGGATGCTGGTACCTTTACATATATTGTGGAAATAAATATTTCCTTACACCTGTGTTTTTTTTGAGTCTCGGTTTAAACAATGCAAATGCTTGGCTGGGGTGTCAAAGTTGGACGATGTCAAGTCATGGATGACTACTGATGTTAAAATCTGATCATGCAACTTCTGGAGAGTTGTGTCTTTGTTTAAGTTCTGGATATCAATATTAGTAAGCTCTTTGCAGTTGAATTGGAGCTTAATTACCCAGAATTTGAAACACTTTCTAGCTTCTGATTACTTTTTTCTTGGTCCGTTAGTAATTTCATGTGGAAAATCAAGAAGCTTGATCAAGTAGTATTGCTGCTCTGGAGTTTGAGCCACAAATCTGGGATGGGCAACGTACACCCAAGCCCTACGGGTATTCAGAAGAGTTGCTTGCTTGGATTTATGGATATTTAAGGGTATGATAATATGATAACCACCCTGCTTCACCTGCCTAAACCTGGACTCAGTAATGTTATTTATTTAGGAAGAAATGCATAAGCACATCTTGCACTCATCTACCACTAGCTAGTATGATCTTTAAAATCCAAATAATTGACCTAATGTTTTGCAAACTTGGGAGTAGACCTTTTCACACCTTTCACAAATTATCATTTGCAAATCTTTAGATGCAAACCTATAATTTCAAGGGAAAACACAATCGTTGTTTCTTATAGTTTTATTGGATTTTGATTTTAATCCCTATGTATTTTCTTTTTTTTTTTTTTAGTGTTTTCAGTCTCTACACTGAAAACACAAACTCTATAGGGATCTGAGTAATAAACATCACCCAATCTTGTTGGAACTATAGGGATTGCAAACGCTGCAAAAACTAAAGGGAATAAAAGTAAAATATGATAAAACTATAAGGATTTATGATTGTAGTTTCCCTAATTTCAACTAAGATTATCATTATATAATTTCACTTTCTCTTCAACAATTCCATTTGCAGTTTCAAACCAAGGCAACTTTTCTTCTAAGATTCTTCTTGGGATTTTGAAGCTAGACACGACAAAAATTTGTCCAAGACAGCCACAATTTTCATTTGTTTGCAATATTAATTTCATACCTTGGTTGGTACAGGCAAGACTTGCTAAGCACCACTTCCTTCTTTATTTTCTCTCTTTCACAAAAATCCCGACTTCCAAATTGGTCTCCAAGTCTTCTAATAAAAGGGTCTATTATCTAAATTTTGAGGTAGACAGTAGCCATTTGTAAGTGGGTTGAAGTACGGGAGAGTCTGTCGATTGTTTTCCTTATATTTATACATACATTTATTGAACTATCATATTATGGAAAAAGAAATTATCCAAATAGCATCCTAAATGTTTTGAATTATATTTATGATAGTTATGATATATAGATATATATTATATTTATGATAGTTATGATATATAGATATATATTAGCCAATTAATTATATTATATTATGAAACATTTTGTAGTGGCCTTATCATATCTGATTTGTATGTCTTTTTACATTTCTGGAATGTTGAACAGATTGGTCTTTTATATTTAAATCCATCACCACAAGTTTTAACTCAATAACTCAGCATAGAATCATCATGTAAAATCTTGAGCAATTATTTTTTATTTTTTATTTATTTATTTTATAAATATATATATATATATATATATATTTGCTTTGAGCGGGTAAGTCTTGAGAAATTGCTGAACCAGCGGAAGAGATGTTTTTATTAGTTTTCATGGAGCGCTGGAAAGTATTCATTTGTCTGACACGTTAAGAATCCATTTGCACGATTGTATTTTACTTTGCCTGTTCTCTTGCTATGTAACAATGTTATATGTTTTGGGGCTAAAATTATGAAGTGGGAGGATTTTGCTTGATGTAACCTCCTAGATACAGTACTGCATTTAGTGTTGACTATCTTTCTGTTGATGAGATAAGGTAACTTCTGTACTAGCAAGCATATGCCTTGTTCATTAATGTGCTTGAAGGCACATTCTACCTTGTGAAGGAGAAGATGGAGAAGCCACTTTTGAAGCTGGAGACAAAACTGTTAATTTCTGAACATTCAAGGCTGATGCATTGTAATAATATAACTCTAGTGAAAGGGGAAAGCGAGGGCATAATGTGGAAAATTTTCTTTTCATGTAATATTCAGTATGTATTTAATATTTATGATCATTTTGAATTTGTATTTTCATTTACTGATATGTAGTTAAAAGCATCCTATTCACGCCGATTATTTTACTAGTGGATTATTGTGTATTGAATATCACTCTTAGTTTGATAATAATAATAATAACAACGACTATTGGTTAGAGATGTGTATAGCAGATTACAACCCCAGCTTGTATTTTGAGATATGATGTAATTCCAAATCTAGCACTCTTCAGTAGGGGGAATAAGCAAGTCGACGCAAAGTTCATAGTTTATGGATGATATAGTGGCTTAAAAGAAGAATGGTATTTCCTATTATGGCTTTTGCATCAAGTTTTGCTGTATTTTTGGTGTGGTTGTGTTTGCGGGCGTGCCAGAGGAACCGATTCGTAAACGGTGTGATGAACTTGATTTTAAAATTGAATTGAGTCCTGGGGTCCTTCGCTAACATGATGCACGTGTTCAAAGATAAAGAAAAATGGGAAAATAGAGATAGAGAAAAAAGAAAAAATTGCATGGTGATTGTAGGCATGATATTGATGTTATTATGAAAGAAATTAAAGAAAATATAATTTGAAAATACAAAAGAAAAGTGCCAGAACAGCGAGATTTTAGTTCTACTGGGTGTTGTTCTACTAGATGCTGGAGGACTTTTGACCCAAGTCCAACTCATCTGTGCTGGATACTTGCTGCTTGGGAGGAACTTGATAGGATTTTTCAAAAGGAAGTTTTTGTACATTGTTCCTGATGTTGAAGGTGTTGTTGGTATTGAAGAAGTTGGAGAAGTTCTTGTGTGTGTCTTGATTTCATTTTTATGGGAAAAATGACAGTTTTCTTTTAGCTCTACATTCCCTTTTTTTTTTTTTTTTTGCAGGTCTAAGCCTTCTTCCACTTGTCTCATTTGCTCAAGAGTATCTGTTATCACATCCTCATATTAACTTCTTCCTTCTAGAAATATGGGTTGCCAAAGTTTAAATTTTAACCCAGATGTTTTTATTTACATTTTTTTATGACAAAATACTTGAAGGCAATTATGGTGCAGAATTCATGAATCATGAATATATATTCATTACTTATTCATTTTTTTTTTGGGTTAAATAGCAAATTTGTCTTAAAACTTTTTCTCCAAAGGTACTTGACACCCTGAGTTTTTTTTTGGAATATTTTTGCCCTGAACTTTTAAAAAAGAAAGCATTTTTATCCTGCTGTTAAATATAAAAAATGTTGACCATTAAATTGAAATTTGATCAAGGGTTAAATGGTATATTTATCTTGAAACTTTTTCTCCAGGAGCGCTGGGTATTCAAAACTTTTGTTTGGATTTTATTTGCCTAGGAATTTTTAAAAATGGAGCAATTTTGCCCTTTCTTCTCCTTCGTCGTCCTCTTCATTTTCCTCCTCCTCTTTTACCAGCAAAGCTTCCACACTATCATAAATTAGAGTCCAAATATAAAGCAGGGAAAAATGGTTGTCCGAGATTTGCGAGCCTCGCAAGGAGTATCACATTAGGCTCGGCACTTTTGTCTCCCAAAAATGACTACTAAAGCCCACAACGTCATTGCTAAAGCCCACAACATCATTGCTCTGTCCATCAAAGGCAAATCCACCATTCTTAACTTCCCTTAGATTGCCATCATCCTCCTCTGACTTGGCATGTGCTCCTTGGATAGTTAAATTGACTCAATGGATAGTTGATTGTTTTTGAGTATAGGCATAGGTTTAGATGATTTGGAACTGCTTCTTCTTGTTCTTGCTGATGTTATTGATGCTAATAGAGGTGTTCTTTCTATCTAGATGGATTTTTTTTTATAAAAAAAAATTGCATGGCTATAAGTGGCAATTAAAGTCAAAGTAACGGTCAATACTGATAGCAAGGAAAAATTGCTCTCCTTTTGAAACTTTCAAAAAAAATAAACTCTAAACAAAAGTTTGGGATATCTAGCGCTCTTGAAGAAAAAGTTTTAGAACAAATATGTCATTTAACCTTTAGTCAAACTTTGGTTTAACGATTAATATTTTTTTATATCTAATGGTGAGGCAAAAATGTTCTCTTTTTGAAAAGTTCGGGACAAAAATACTTCAAAAAAAAAAGTGTAGGGTGCCAGATGCCCCTAAAAAAAAAGGTCCACGGCACACTTGCCATTTAACCTTTGTTTTTTTTAATAAGAAAAACAATTTTTAAGTACTATTTATGACATCTTTGTGTCAATTGTCCTTTATTAAATGACAATTTTTTACATTAGGAAAAAATTAAAGATTACTCATAAGGTTCAAATTTTTTAATTTCAAATATAATTATTAAGATTAACTAATTTTTTTAACCAGTGTAAGTTAAAATTTGCTTATATTAAATAAGGAAGAAAATATACATGTGTGATAAAGACATGAATTGTATAGTCTTTGAAATAACAATATATGCTAACATTTTTTTGTTGAAGGAACTAATGATTAAGTTTATATTACAATCCCAAAAGCACAGCACATAAATGGCTCATCCTAGCCATAACTTACAAGCAATTCTTCGACAAGACAAGGGTTTTCCGCTTTAAACCTTGGATTGATAAATTGCATCCACCTCGGATAAGAGCCTTTCTTTTTCATGCTTTTATGCTCAAAGGTCATAAATGTAGTGAGTGAACTCAATTACATGAATGCTACGATGTCGTAATTATAGGAAAATAAATCTCACCATTTTTTCGCCATTCATCTAAAGTAATTTAAGAAAAATGCTAAACCTGATAATAAGATTAATATTCTTCTGTTCCCTGATTATTATTATTATTATTATTATTATTATTATTATTATTAATCTTGGCCACTAATTATAAATTTCCAACAAAAATTCCACTGTCCGCATGAAGATTTTCTCAGTATATTTCTCGTTCACAGCAGTCACGTTAACTAAAAGCGAAGCTGGTGTTCTCAAGGGTTCGAGTTAACTAAAAGAAGGAAACGAAAGAGCAAAATAATTGAACAGAACACAGTATTCCGCTGGCTTTGAATTATTTTAAAATTTCTGACTTTTTCTGAATGACATAGATGAACCTAAATCATCACCGGGAAATTCCTAGTCTGGAAAAAAGGAGGATAAAAAAAAAAAAAACAGAGAAAAGAGAGAGAAGAAACTACACGGGTAAATATGAACCTATCCATGGACTACATATGAAAAAGTAGATCAACCAGACCAAGAAAAGATAGCAATGCTTTCCAATGAGAACGTGGCTATCAACACCGAGCTCTCTTGTTACTGCATGATGGGCATTTGTACTGCTTGATATGCTCTGCCCTGGCGGGGGTAATCTTCACACATTTTCCATGGAACCAGTTCTCACAGATGTCACAGCAAATCCAGAACTCATCGGTACCGTAATTCTCGCCACAGGCCCCGCACAAGGTATCCCCGTGTTCATCATCTTCAACTTCCTCGTCTGGAACTTCGTCTTCATCTTTTGGTTGCAATGCCTTCGATTGTCTTCCCTGACTTTCTAAAGATCTCTGCACCAGAAGCCAAAAAAATATAAATGAGAAAAACCAACTAGCTCATGAGTGTATAAACTCTTGACACTATGCTCACAAGCACAAGGGAAGGATTGCAGGAATCAATCAGTACCAACAAATATCCCATATATTTAAACAGGCATCTTGACATGGGCTCAAATAAGTGAAAAACCACTAGCCATAAGCCATTTTTTTTAAGGGTTGTGTGTGTGTGTGTGTTCTTATGCTTATCAAATTTCTACCTAAGCCATGTATAGTTTCAATACATGCATATTAGCACATTGTATCACAAATTTCATAATATTTGTACCAAATTAAACATCTCTCTTTCTAGACTAAACTCGAGAAGCAAAATTAACTCATTGACCTTGTGGCATAATTACAAAAAAGGCCTCCATCTAAAAACAGACAGCGCCCAAGACCAACCAGGATTTCTTTGCTACGCAAGGACACAATTATTAACCTATTAATGAACAAGTTTTACTTCTGAAGTGCAATCACAAGAAAATCCTATTTACCACCTTAGAGCCAGACTTAGATTTGCTGCCACTTTGATTTGAAGACTTCTCCTTCACTTCTTTCTTTGCTGCACCAGTAACAACTTCAAAAATTGTTGGCATATCATTGATCATATTGAAAAGTCGTTTCCTGCAGGGAGAACCACATGTTGATGGGTAAACAAAAAACTTATATATCATACAAGCATTTTTAACCAACAAAAATTATATGGTGACCAAAGGAACGTTAAATCATGATTGCTAGATCAAAAGACGAATGTAATAGGAAGTTAATATAAATTATAATGAATAAAAAAGTCCAAATTATCCTCATTGCTCCAATTAACATGAGTCATAATATATGAAAATGTTGCGCATATTATTCTACAAATAATCATCTACCAAGAATTAACATGTTTGCCTCCCAAGGTGGGCAACGACACTTCAACAAAAACAACAGAGGCAAATAATCACCATGTTGTAAGCATACGATCAATCGAGACAGAAAACCAGCTCCTATGTGGGACAACGAATGCACTAACAGGGAAGTAACCTTTCCCATCAAGGGCCAAAAAAAAAAAAAACAATGAGCATAAATAAAATGTCATCATAAATCAGCCCACCAAGATCTGAGAACCCAAAGTACTTTCCTGCTTTTAAATTTTAATAGCCAACTCAATACAAGTTTTTTTTTTTTTTTTTTGGGTCCAAAACCCATACAGGTTAATGTAAATATAAAATTTATGCAGTTATGCCTTGAATACAGAATACCTGTCAGCTCTATCAAACCCAAATCTGGCTCCAAAATAGAAAGCCACAGAAAGTAACCATGTATCACTATGAACTGCTACTAAAGACAACCAGTCTTTTTCTTGCATGCCATCCCTGGCAAAATTAATTCCCAGAACAGGCTCCGGAAGTTCTGGAGGAACTTCTTCAGCAGGTAGGTTCACTTCCCACTGCTCACTAGGAAGTCCATACAAGCACAAATTCTCCTTCTCTGAAAGAATAGTATAATCATAACTAAAACAAAATACCAAAAGAGTAGAAAAGCTACAAATAAAGGAAGTATGAGCAACGCTGACCTATTTCTGATTATAAAATAAAGTACATAACTAATCTGTCAATGCATGTAATACAATAAGAAACAGAGGGCTATATAATACGTTGTTCACTAACTACACTTAAAAAGGAAAGAATTTAAGCTGGAGACAGCCCAAAATAGGATTCAAATGATATCATGAATCAACACATGAAATGTCTTAAATTCTTAAAGAAAGCATTAGAGAGCATTGAACCATCTAGCAGCTTACAAAATTTACAGATTGGAAATGCAAAAATATTTGCACATAGTGACTTTACCACCACAAACAATATCATTACACATCAGTAACTTACTGAAGAATTTTGCAGAAAAAGAATAAATGTATGGAGAACTAAGGACATTCCTACTAACCGGGGTCACATTGGTTGTAAAAATCTTCAACATCTGCAACAGCATGACCAAACAGAAATAATCAGCATGGCTTTGCAACTCATATAAATGAGAAGATTCAGTGACAAAATAATCAAGAAATTATATTTGGAACTAACAAGACAAGGTAATACTGTTTGGTTCGCGCACACTCAGCACAGAACAGAAGACCAAGATACGTCATCTATGACCCTTCTACAGCATTACTCAGGACTCTAGATATTCAAGCATTTAAACTCATAGAACTCATATAACTTATTTTTCCCTTTTCCTTATCCTATTTCACCCAATAACCATCACAAAATTCATACCCAAGTGCTGAAAATATTTTTAGGGAAAAAAGTTGAAAAATCAAGACTTCTGAATCAAGTCCTTTCAGAAAATCTCCAACAACCTCAGCATCAAGTGTAAAAAGAAGCCTAAGCCAGCCACACTGGAAGGCAAATGACAAGAAGACTTACGAGAGAAAGAGAAATGCAAATATCCAGAACCTTACAACAGAAACCAATTTTCTAGTCAAACAATAATTGTAATTTACACCAACGTAGATAATTCCAGCACCAAACGAAGCCTTGCAGGTTATACCTAAAGTTACCTCTGTCCATCTCACAAAAGAGCGCATAGCTTGACTGTACAGTATACTAACAAACTGCAATGGAAACAACAACCGAAAACTATTCACCACAATTTTTTTTTTTTTTGTTTCCATTTCATAGCATGACTGAGCAACAATTGAAAATATAAGATAATCTTTTAAACAACAAATACCAAAGTCAACAGATCCCTTTCCATTCTCACTTCTCCAGAGTTCACGGCTCATGACATCCTCCAATTGACACTTCAAGAAATTAAGAACGCAACAAAGAAACAGAGCCCTGCTATTTTGAAATGGATGTAGAAAACTCTGAGCAGAAAACATTACTAAACACAGAATTCAAAATTCCCCACATGCAACATTCTGCAACTTCCTTACAGCAAGGACCCAATTTTCTAATCAATCAATAATTGTGATCAACACCCAATTTGATGGAACCTATTCCAAATTCAGCCTTTCACTGGTTATAACCAATGCTGCACCTAAGCCCATCACACAAGAGGGAACGTAATGCCTTGCTATTCCGTAAGCTATTACACAATTTTGTGGATACAATTCAAGAGATAAGTTTAACTTAAAGAGCTAGAAGGTAAAAATAAACCGCGAAAAATGTCCTCCCACGATATCTTAGATAATAGCAAAAAGCTAAGGTTAGTAAAAAAAATTTAGAAACTCCCACTTTTATCAGAAAAAATACTGGTGGGTGGAAGAATTTCTGCTCCTCTTGACTCATGAGTAAAATGGATAATAAACAATCGAAGGTACTGGACAATCTTATCAACCAAAAAAACACCGAATTCAACAAATCCCTTTCCATTTTCCTCCCAAATATTCTTGAGATAACTCTACTGCACTCACTCCAATTTACACACTAGGAAATCAAAACTAACGAAAATAAATAAATGAATAACTATATGAACCCTACTAGTTCGCAACGAAAGTTCAAAAGATTTGAGCCGAAACAAACTGCAAACGCCGAATTAAAACTTCTCCCTTCCCGTTTATTTTTAGGGGTATTCACGCGAGCAAATTTCAATACTAGAAAAAAATAATAAAAAAAAGAGAGTAGAGAATAAAGGAAAGAGAAACAAAAATGCAAGACGCATGTACCCGTTGTAAGGGCTTTAATCAGACCAGTTCTTCGGCCCTTGAAATCCCTGAAAACCTCTTCAACAGTGCGAGGATTATAATTTGTGCGCGCGTCCATTACCCTTGCTTCCCTCTCAAAGTGTCTCAAGAAGCAAAATCGGGGGGGAAAAAAAAGACTCCCTCTGTGCACAAAACAGAGGATAACGAGAACCAGGCTGTTTAGCAAGAGGAGATTGAACGGAATTTTCCGGTCAGAAGGTGGTGTAGTGGCTCTTGCCTTGAGAAATTCAGAAAAGGAGAAGGACGCAGTGTAGAATTAGAAGGAAGGTATTTCTTCATGGAATTGACTTGGGTTTTGATATTAGGTTTCCTGATTTTAAATTTAAATTAAATGGGATGAATAATAATTTAACCTATAAAATATATAGATTTTTTAAACATGGAAATCCTTAATTTGGATTGGAGCAAATGCAACGTGCGTGTATTTTCTGTAAATTATATTAAGTAATATTCTTTTAACCTCATTTATTAAGTGATAATGAATAAATGTTGACAAGTGATTTGATTGTATATCTACATTATTATTCATGCATCCAAATGGATTTTTTTTTGTCACAAATGGAATTTTTAAAAAAATAAAGGATTTAATTACATTTTTAAAAATTTAATTTTCTCATTGAGTTTTGTGTATTTTCTCTCTCTCTACAATATTTTTATATTTAATTCAAACATTTTTGCATCCCTAATCCATTTCAAATTTTGAATTGTTTTTATATATAAGCATAGCATCATACTTCTAATTATTATGTTATACATATATAAGATTTTTTTTTTCCTGAAAATGCATGCTCTGTTCAATTTATATGACAGTGCTAATCAAATTTTGCATGCTAATCAAAATAATTATTTTCTTACTTTAAAAAATTGACATGTCTTTTTTGTTATCATTAATCCTCTTTATAATATTTTTAGAAAGAAAGTCTCAATATGGCATGATTTAAATCAAGTCAAACCAAGCCTAACCAATTACAAAAATAATATGTGCAGGCCAAGAATCTGTTAGTTTAATGGCACTCTGCACCTCTTATTAAGAGAGAGATTATGGGCTTAATGGCTCAATTTGCTATTGCTTGAAGGTCACCCTTTACCTTAAGGAAAGAGACAGGCATACAGATATATTAGTGTTTGTATTTGATTCATTAAAAAAAAAAACACACAATTTACACGTCATACATGTATTGAGATTGACATTTATTGTAATTAATTTCTATTTTGTCAGTGATCATCGAAATATCTTGTAGGAATACTTTTCAAATTATATATAAAATAAAAACAAAAAATACTGTACAATTACTCACTCCAAGTTATTGTCATTGTTTATGGAAATTGAATTCATTTACAAGCTTAAGTGAACCTGAAGGCTTGGAACCTTTTTTTTTTTTTTTTTTTGCCTTTTTTATTTGGAAACTAATTTTTTTTTTATGTGTAATTTAAATGAATCAGTATAGTTGTGTGGTATTTGAAATGAACAATATTGCTCATAACTAAGCGAAAATGTGGCTTTTTACCATTTTTATAGATATACTGATTTTAATATTTCTGTTATCAAGATCTTTAATTAAACATGAATGAATTGATACAGAGCCGTGAACATGGGAGGAGAAAAGGGAAAGCAGAGAAGAGAGAGAGAGAGAGAGAGAGAGAGAGTAAAGAGGAAGAAGAGAGAATATAGAGAGGAGAAAATGAAAGAGTGATAAAATAATATCACTTCTTATTCATTCAAAAAATATACAAAACAAATATGTTAAGTTACTCCTTAGATGCCTTCATTTAACCCCAAAAATAAATAAATAATATTCTAAAAATCATAAAATTAAATGAAAATATAACAATAAATGTTGAAAAATAACAATAATGATAGTTAGAAACAAAATATTTCTAATTAACATGACAATTAAAATAAAATATCTCCAAATTTCAAATCTCTCCAAATTCAATTACTTGTTTTTCTTTTTCTTTCCACCGATGACTTTATTATGTTTTTTTAAACAAATATAGAATTTCTTAATTATAAATCCACTTATAATGTTATCTTCAAAAAAAAATCTTACTATAATGTTATCTTCAAAAAAAAAATATTACAAATTTCAAGCATTATAAAAAAAATGATATAAGTAACAATGCTTAAATTTGACTCAATAATACTAAAGATTATATGATTGTATTAAAAAAAAAAAAAACAGAGAGAGAGAGAGAGAAATACCAGTAACTCATATCCGTTGACAAATTCATGAAATTTATTAACCAACTCATACGAGAGATTCAAATCAACCAGTGAAAAAAAAAAAAAAAAAAAAAAGAGCCTATACTCTGTATTTGACATCAAGCTCCTCATCCTCATTAGCTTTCATCCAATTGTTCCTAAAACACACACACAAACATTTCTTGTTTTTATTAGGATCTAATTCTACCACATCCTTATGTTTTTATATATACAACACATGCTTAATCTATAGATTGGGTCAGTACCTAAAATCTCTCCTGAAACACACTAGTAATGGGAATACACAACATAAATATGAGCCAAGGATGACTTCCCAAGGGATTCGAGCAGTGATCTTTTCCAACTGAAAGCTGAAGAAAAAAAACTGCTGTTACTTCCCATTCAATCTGTCACATGAAGACCGATACACGGTGTTGATTCTCATCACCACTCATATCAACTGAGAAACTTTGCATTTTGCTTCCAATATGAGAAGGATATCTTCCACACCACCTCAAATCTGATTCATGCTGCCGCTGGAAGATATCGTCACTGTTAGAAGCACTTGCGATATCAGGACAGGTGACGGTCGATGCACTGTCTCTGCAATTTTCTAAGCCAAGAAATTCAGATTCTGGTGTATTAACACTCTGACGATTCAACCTTAGGCGTTGGCTTGCTGAAGGTAGTTCTGATGATTCTTGAAGCTTTTTGGTGTTAAGAAAGCGTCCACCAGAACCTCTGGCTCTCTTCAATGCATGTAGGTGCCGAGACTCGTGAAGATATGGCTGCAGAATAATTTTATCATCTCAGTGGGCTCAAGGACAAGCGATGTCTAAGAAAGATGAAGGGAAAATGAAAAGGCACTTACTTTCCGAGTTTTGTTGAGCTTGTTCTGTGCTTCGAGTTTCGATCGATACTGCCTTCGCCTCAGAATTGCGTGATACTGTTTTGCATTCACAAATATGGGTTCTTCAGTGAAGTCAAGCGGAAGCGGAACTCGAAGAGGAGCCATTCCCATTAGTTGAGCATGATGGATCTGGAGAGAGATATACAAATGGCAGATGTTTCAGATATACGAAACTATTTTTTGACCACTTTTGCTTTATGCCTTTAGCTCATGTTTCATGGCTTTATAGAAATTTTCAGCTCATTAGTCACCTTACAAACAGAATATATAGAGCAAAAGAGAATCTGAAGAGAACAAGCCTGAAGTGAACAACCCCATTACAGATAGATAGCCCACTTACTTTCTTCATTATCTATCCATTTGGTATCATAGCAGGAAAAGGATTCCCCCAACAGTTCTTAAAAAAATAATTTTTTCATGTACGGGTATTATGGTTATTCTATCATCAAAATCACTTTTTCCTTTTTCATTCCATTTCATTATGTATATCAAACAGGGAAATCAAAGTCAACAAGCACAACATTCAATCTTGTAAAGATTACTGCATTTCTTAAAATTAATAGTATGACAAAAATAGGGTCAATGACAGGAAACAATATCCCCACCAAGATAAATTATTTTACTAAATCAATAAATCAGTGAGAGAATAAGAGAAAAGGAGATGAAAAGGAAAAAACTGAAACACTTATTATTAAATGCAAAGATTCTTTATAGGCCTTGCTTTATAAAGATTGAGAATCTGTAAGGCTGGAGCAGACAATAACATGTAGTACAATAAATCTAAAAAATTTAATATGCATGGATGACAAGCTGAAAAGATATGGACAGTTGATTGACAATTTAAAGTGCGCACATGGCTACACAAACAATTAGCAGATTCAACTATTGCAAATCTTACTCCTCAAAACATGCATCCACTGGGAAGTCCTTTGAACCGAGGCTTTGCTCAGAATTTATTCCTTTTAGGACAAGTTTTTATATACTAGCATGCTTTTACCAATATAGGCATTCACTCTAACTCTTAAGTTCAACTGAGGGCGGGATCGTTGCCTTTGAAAGCTAAGAATTGGACATGGAAAGAGGGGGGGGGGGAGTCATTGTGTAATGCTATTATGTTAATGGGGTTATCGTTATCATTATGCAACAGTATTTGTCTTGAAGAGGTAGGGGCGTGTTGTCATTTTACACCTTACCTGCCACTTTTTTCTTACTTTCCATTCTTTTCATTTTCATGTCCTTTTCACCATACCTAAGACCCTGTTAGGGACAGTGGCGAGAAGGGAAGGGAAGTAAGACTTTATTCTTATTTTCTTTGATCTAAATTTGAATCTTAATTTTTTTTTTGGTTAAAATAAGTTTGGATTGAGGAGAGTAAATGAAAAATAAGACATTGTTAATATTAAAATTTCATTTCGCTTCTTCCCCCCAATCCAAACCATAACCTTGATAATAAAGCCCAAGCCATTCTTAGAGCAATCATAAAAACCAATAACAATTTTGATTCCATCATACAAACTTTTCAACTATATATTATACTGCCGATCACAAATCACCAGAAACAAGGAGACAAAAATATACTAATAAAAGAAAATAGCAAACTCTAATATCTTAGGCTGTAATTCATATGCAGCAGCTTAAAGACATTGGGATTGATTATGGGATACAATATGTAACTGACATGTAAATTACAAGGAACATATATGCATCTATCTTACATACACAGAACATCAACACAAGCATGTATCTACTTACAATTGATTGATTATGATCCAGGAGTGAAGGGAAGGTAAAATCCTGTCTCCCCACTGATGACCTGATGAGACCTCCTGAGGACTTTCCCTCAGTTCTGCTAGAATGAGCAGAAGAACTGCTATATTGCATAGAAAAGTGACCTGTCATTGGAAGCAGGGAAAACACCAATTAATATGAATTGTGAAGTAACAAACCAATGCAATTGAAAAGATTTAAGCATGATATACTGTAGATGTCATTATTCTACAAGATGCTAAGTAAGTAGATATTATGCAGCAACTAGGTTGTTATTGTATATTTGCATTACTTCCTGTTCATGTCTTTTCTTTTGTCATCCATAGTTCTTCTGGAGCTTCAGCATAGAAATTTTATCCAGCAGTAGTAGAAAACCAGTTGGTCAAAAGTTCAAAATTACATATACTGAATAGAATTCCACTCCAAATAATAATACCTGAGTTGGCTGAGACACCTCTATGATAAGATTGATCAGTTGGCTGGGTTGAACATGAGTCCTGTTCTTGAAATTGAAAACTAAACAGCTTAGTTTTAAGAGATTGCTGTGGGAGAACTCCCATTTTTAAGCTCAAACTTTTGGACATAGGCGATTCTTGTCCATGAGATCCAGATGAAGTTTTCCATGATGAGCATCCAAGAAAATCGGGGGATGTTGAATGAGCAGAACATAGGCCAAAATCTTTCTTGCATGAACATTTCATTGTAATCCACTATGGCTCAACCATTACCTGTTAAAATACCAATTCACTGGAGCTTCAATATGAAATGAGGTAGAAAACATGTATTTGGCTACATCTTTCTCAATCATCAGCAACTATCAGTCCTGAATAGTATACCTAGCGAATTGCTGTTGCAGTAACTATTAGCAGCTGAAAATTGAAAAGCCTGAACTAATTGAATGAACTTGAGTCTGCACTAATCTGAAAATGTCAAACCAGAGATAAGCAAGAAAAGGCTATATAGGCGCAAACAAGTCCACATGTGCATACATGTCTGAAAAGAAATCACTGTCTTGTCAAAAGGAAGTCAAGACAGAATGAAGAATTGTATAGAGAAGATCCTATGAGGACCTCATAAAGACTTGAATTAGAGTATGAAAAGAATAATCAGTTATCACTGATTAATACATAAACTCTTGAATTCTCATCCTACAAGTAATCAAGAGTCATGAATCATGACATCTGAATTGGCTTGCAGAAAGGAAATCAAAGACATTAGTTTAAGCCAGTTCAATGTAATATTGATCGGCTAAGCTAAGAAACAGTTCGGCTGATAAATCCTATGATCTTTTCAGGTGTTCCTGGCATTCCTACATCTAATTAACAATTAACTGTCAAGCTGAAGAGAACAAAGGGAAAATGTTTCAACAGACATAGTGAACTACTCAAAAACGAAAACTCCTTTTTATTATCATTCTCCTGGACATTTCTGCAATGAAATGTATCATCCGTGACCCAAAAGGACACTGGTAAGCCGATAATTATATTGAGAACAAGGAAAAGGAAGTGCTCTCTTCCACAATATAAATATATATATATATATAGTAATTCAAATTTACATAATGAGCAGATAAAATCTAAAAGAAGAAAAAAGAAAAAGAAAAGGAAAAAGAGATATCAGGAATAGAATACAGGGTATCCTACACGTGAATCGTTCAAGGGGGAAAATTCCTCAAATGGATACTACAAATAAGAAAAAGGAAAACAAAATATCGAGATGAGGAGTTACAGAAAAGAATTCCCCACCGCCAACGCTTTCAAATGATAAAATGGTAAAAGCCCAAAAAAAGAGAAAAGCTTTTCATAAATGGCCAGCACGCAGAATATTCAAACAAGAAGAAACAAAATCAGTTTTTCGCCCGCCATGATCAGTATATGTCAATTGCTAAGTATATCAAGAAACAAAATAATTGCTCAGCACATCAATTTTTTGTCAGCTATAATCAAACAAACTTCTAACTTTCCAACCTAGAAGAAGAAGAGCTCCACCATCCTGAGCTTAATGAAAAAACTATGTTAACCCAAAAGCAAGTGAGAAGATTGAAAAGAAAAGTGAAAGCTTATTAGAAGAGAAAAACCTTTAGAATTCGAAAAATTGAAGAGGAATAAGAAATGGGATTTGGCATTAGTCAGAAGTGGTGCATGTCATCTTCCTCCAAAGCGCAAAACAAACTCACTATCTGGGAGTATCAAAACGACACAGCTTCTGCTCCTTTTGCCTTGGTCTGCAATTCTGCATTGAGGACCGAGGGGACGTCTCCTAAAACGATGGATTCATCAGCATTAATACAAGTGTGCAGCTCTCACAAGTCACAACCCCACAATCCACTTTCTTGCCTTTTTCATTATTTTTAATTTTTAATGTGCATTTTCTCTCGGGTGTTATCTCTGTCGCGTTACTTTTTTGGGTTCCTTAAAATTTCTATTTTGACTTTGTTGATTGCAGATGAAAGATACCCTTGCTTTATGATGGATAAGCTAATGAGAAAAATATTATTTTTATTCTTATACTTTGCTTAAATTTTTATATAAATTTTTATATTTTTTTTGATATTTTAAATCTCTATTTTTTTTAATCTACAAGGTTGGCCCTTATATTTTTAAAAAGATGTTAATATGATATAAATAATATTAATAATATTAACATGTCAATTAATAAGGTTAATTTTATTTTTACATGTCAAACTTACACTGACATAGAATTTTTAATAAGTAAAATTAAAAAAAAAACTTATATGGAATTTGTTCATCATTTAAAAAAAATCCTAGTCAATCTTTTTGTTTCATCAAATGTAGGTTTTTTTTAAATTCTTTTTATTAAAAAATTTCATGTCTATATCAATTGGACACATGAGTATAAAATTGATAGTGTTAATTAACATGTTAGTATTATTAATATTGTTTATGCCATATCAATATTTTTTTGAAAATGTAGGGACAATGTTGCAAAGGGAGGATAATGTAAGAACCGGAAACATTGAATATAAAGTGTAAGGACATATACCAACATCCAATCAAAATGCAGGAATCAAAAATAGTGTTTTTCCTAAGTTAATCAAATTTACTATCTTTCTTAAGGCTTGATTTATTATTATTATTATTATATATCATTTTGATGTATAAGAAATAGTTTCTATATAAATTTATATAATACATTTTTTTAAATGATTACTCTCTTCGTTTAAAAATGTAAGACATTTTTTGAGGAGTTAGGTATTAAAAAATGTAAGGTATTTTTAGTCTTTTGAGGTGTAATCATTGTATTTTTTTTTAAGTGTCCATATTGATAATAACTTTATATTTATTATAAAATGTTTAATAAGAATAAATATGAAAATATAGGGTTAGTTGAAAAGTGAGTAATTACTTTATTGAAAGTAAGATTTAATTAAAAATATCTTATATTTTTTTTTTAAACAGAGAAAATAATTTAAACACATATACATCCAAGTATCAAAAGAGTTCAAACCCTGAACCTCACACTCGTGGGGAAATGGCACTGTAGCTGGGACAACTTGCCATGGGCAACTTATATAATACATGATTTGAAGTAAGGAAATAATAAAAATAAAATATATTGAATTGGTTTGCGCCATCAAATTTAATATAATATGTCAAATAAATTCTCCTACGTTGATCTCAGTGGTAGTAACAATGATTATGCAATTATACTTACTTAGACATATCCTCAAATATTTAAAATAAAATACATTGAATTGGTTTATGCCATCAATCAAGTTTAATATAATATGTCAAATAAATTCTCCTACGTTGATCTCAGTGGTAGTAATAATGATTATGCAATTATACTTACTTAGACATGTTCTCAAATATTTTACTTATTCAAATATTTGATCTTATCATGATGAATAGTTAATATTTGATTAAACCTCCAATGTAAAAAAGTTAAACTCTATCCTTAGTAAGCATTATTATTTAGCTATCCCAAGATTTTTTTTTTAAGTCATTTATTCAAGTTTGATTGCGATGGAATTTCGTGTACCTTACTTTGTCTCATCTTATTACCATTCTTTTTTTTTTTAAGAATTATTTTTTACCATTTAATTTGAATTTTAATTAGTCACATTTCAAGTGAGAATAGGCATTTATTTCTAATATGATGTATTGTATATATAAAATTTGAACTCAAAGACGTTAATTAAAAATCATTGAGTCTCTGTATTTTTATTGACTTATTGGCTTGTTCTATTAATATTGAAAACATATTTTAAAATAAGACTTATCCTTAATTAAAAAGCCTACAAATTAGGGTGATATGTATGCAGAATTATCAAACCAAAATTTAATATTGGTTCTAATGTAAGCTTCCTCCTTACACCACTTTTATCAAAGAAAATTGAGCCATGGGAATCTAAAGATTAAGTGAATTTGGCAACATGTTATATATATTATATTATTTCTGGAAAACCCCACATAACCAACTCAATTGAAATATTACAATAAGTCCTAATTTAGGTCACATCAAACACGATACAAGTTTGGCATCTTCATGGAGGCAAGAAATTAGAAGACAAATTTAGAGGGCCCCATTTAGAGTTGGGAGCTAACAATGCTTATCACTTTCATGTCCTGTTTCCTTATATAATACAAGAGTTTTTGGTAATGATTGTCAAAGGATTGAGAGGATTAGGATGTCATCTGTTTAATAAATTACACCAATTTTTATTATTATTTGGTTAAATTTATATGTAACTTTCTTAACTTTAGATTATAGATAAATAACCTTTAATCTTTAATTCATCTGACTTTTTTATAATTTTCTTTACAAATAACTCTCTTAAATTTCTGATTATATGTATGTTATTACCTATCTAAACTTTATCATTATTAGTGAAACAACAAGTTAATTAACAATACTGAATTATCTATATAAATTTACAATTTTTTTTAAAAAAAAATTCATTGTCAGGTTTTCGAAGGATGAAAGAGCTAGGCAGCTAACTATGAGTAACTTAATCTAAAATAATTATATGTAATTTAAAGGGTGATTGTCGTTTTCACCTTCAAATCAAACTACATTGGATTTATTAACCCGCATATCACTCAACCAACATGTCAATGGTTGATTTTAAACGAAACACACCAACCCACGGCTAATTATTTTTACTAAGAATGATCAATAAATGTTATTTTCTACCCTGCATCATTTATTTAATATATTAGATGTGAAATATTTTAACAAATACGGCTTTTGTGTTTTATTTTATTTATTCATTCATTGTGGAAAGACAACTTTGTAGTGTTGTTCGATTTGGATTAATGTTTCAAGGAAACAAGAAGTGCCGCGTCACATATCAACCACTACTTTTTATCTTCTCATATAATGAAACTGGTGAGATTTTAAAGAAAATCCAAATTCTATTCTGTATCTCCACTTCGCTATTTTTATTTGATTAACTAAAATTGTGAGGTGTTTAGCGTGGAGTCAAGATCACTCAACTTGTGAAATTTACAAAAAGCACAAGTCAATCTCACTCTTCACTTTTAATCTTCCAACCGAACTTCAAATTCATTTCAAGAAATTCTGATCAGTACAATATATCATTTGTGCGAGAGACTTGCATACGCTGCATTTAACTTCTTGGCTGTCTGTATTCCAAAAAATAAAAACTTCTAGGCTGTCTGAATCCATCAGATTAAATCAAGATTTTTTTTTTCAGTGAACCTTTTGTTGGCCAAAAAATTGTTTTAGTGATCTTGATTCGTAAAAGATAACTAATTTGAGCTAGTTTTGATTTTTTTAAAAAAAAAAACCACAAGTGTCCAAGGAATTTGATACTGCAGAAATAAAACCCTTCCCAAAAGGTAGCTATTCCTCGAGTACTTCTTTAGATGATGAATGTGATCTGTTCTTGATAAATGAATTTTACAATGACCAAAGAAAAAATATACAAGTGATAAATTATTCTCTATAATATTTATGTGAAACAGATTCTATGAATTGTACTTCAAGTCAAAGGAAAAAAGGAAAAGAGAAAAGACACAGTCAACCTCTGATATGTGGGTCTGACTTCTGCCACTCTCATCTCCCTTGAAATGGACTACAAAGAATCTGATCCTGCAATTTTATGCGTCTCTATACAATGAATTTGATTTACTCTCTCTCTCTCTCTCTCTCTGTTTTTTTTTTTGCACAACACAAGTCCACTTAATTCTCATAACGTAATTTTAGAATTAAGCTGAAACGTTTGACCGGAAAAATGAACCAAAAAAAAAAAAAAGGGATAAGGTTCAGCAGAAACGAGTGTCATCACAAGAAGATGAATGAAACATGGCAAACGGACAAATCAATGGCCAGCAATTAAACTATGGAAGAAATACAATTAAGCAAATATTTCATAAAAATTAAGGGTAAAAAGAGTCAAACAAACTGAAGCTACAAGAAGACAAAAACAGAAACCTGTGTATTGGTAAATCAAAGGTCGTAAAATTATATCCCTGAACAAGTCATCTTGCCTGGATGTACAGACCTCTTTATACAAGACTCCCATGGACAGCAGATATCTTCTTCCTTCAGAACTCTTTCAAGCCATTCACAGAAATTATTTTTTAAGGAATGAAGCAGATTAGAAGAGAACTAATTCAATCACGTTCCTAATAATCCCGTCCCCTATACTGCGTTTCCTGTAAGAAATCAAATTGAGGAGTTGCGAGTCGCCCAGAAAGAGATAATGATAGCCAAGACTTTTTGAATTAAGATACGTAGAAGAAGAAAGCATTAAGCATATATAAATAATTTATTTTATGAAGAATTGATTATTGATATATTTGATCATGTCGTTCATAAAAAGATTGCACACATCTATCATGTCATCAAACCACAGTGAAGAAAAAGGTGCAAGGGATTTTTTAAATTGATATAAAAGAAAAGAAGGTAACATTAATCTTATCCATATCAAAAGGGCACCACTCGCCGAAGAAAAAAAATAAATTAATTAAACAAATGGCGTACAAAATATTAGTGCTTACAGGTAGGTATCCTGGTGGCATGTACATGCCTTGCCTGGGATGACCAAGAAGCTGCCCATACTGTAAATAGATAAATAATGTTTATTATTTGTTGTAAGGCATCAATTTTCATTCAATAGTCACCAAGGAGATAAAGCAACTAATATCCTACCTGTGGTACGTTTGGATGAACATATGTTAATGGCACTTGTGCTACCGGTGGGTTATACATGACATGTGGCCCGGTAAACGTAGGTCCCATCTGCATACATATGAAAACACATCATGATTGTAAACATAAGAAAAGCAGAGCAGATAACAATAGTTTTCGATAAATGTGTAAAATTATATACATTATATAAACAAAAAGACCACAAGCTACCAGAGTCTTCGACTCTTGTCAAACAAAGGATAGACTGCCAAACATGCCTTGGAGTTGACAAAATATCCTAGTATGACAATAAAGCCTACGCCAACCTCACAGATGAATGGCAGGTCAAAACCATATCCTTTAACCAGGGTAAAAACAATTGAAAACCTTGACAGAACATATTTTCTCCTTCACAAGCATATCTAACCGAGGAATACTTACTCCAATGGACATGGTTGGCATATGCGGCACGCTCGTTACATTAGTTGGGAAATAGAATGAAGCATCAGCTACTGGGGAAGGAGGTCTGAGCGATGTTTGAGATGGAATGAAACTCCTTGCATTAGGATTGAGCTTGAATTCCTGACATCAGAAGTAAAACAAGATTGGGGAAGCTCAATTACATTATCGTAACTTAAAAGGCCAGAAACAGTGCGATTGAATGTTTCAACATGTCAATCTTGAACTTTTGTACCTTTGCATTGGGATTCAAAGCCGATCTTTCAGAAGATAATGAACCAACCGAAGAACTTGGTGAGAGGCCAGGGCCAGAAGACGCTGCCAAACCTCCCACACACTCTGAAGCAGATGAAGCAGAACTACCTGGTCGTCCATGGGAGTTTTCAGACTTTGTATCCCCATTCACTTTGCCTGAAGCTGAACTCTCAATTATATCACCAGGTGACACTGCCTTTTCTTGAGTACTTGATAAAACACGGAACGAAGGGGCACAAGAAGAGGCATTTAATTCCCCTTCATCAGAGCCATCTTTCTTCAAGTTGAGAAATGACTCTGAATCTGCACTAAGAATTGCATGATCAGATGAATGCATATATATCGGAACAATCAAAAACCCACCACTATGACAAAGTTTCAGGCATTGGAAAATTCTGCTATGCAGAAATAAGTCAAGTACTACTACAGATTAATAATTTGTTCATGCAGATTAATTTAAGCCATAACGCTTTTCAACTCAATTTCCAGGGATCTGAAAAAGAAACTTCACAAACCCTCAGATTTTGACGGTTGATCATCCCCAGCCTGCTGGATCAATTAAACAAAACAAAAGAAAATTGGGATTTAGTAATTTCCACAAGCTATCTTCCCCAATATATTTGTATGCATGAATCGGAGGTTAGTAATAGTAACATGGGAACCTCAACTCACTACCTGATTTTCTTCCTTGCTACCACCATTTGCTCCATATTGATCAACCATTGAATCCCGAACCCTACAAGTTTGGTGGATTTGAAATTTACTCTAAAAGCCACTCTGGTGGACATCAACAAATCCAATCACAGTGCAAACAAGTAACCATATATAAAACAAGAAAATGTCAGCAAAAACCTTCTTTCTCCATCCAAAGATGCGTAACTTTGGGCAGGGAGTTCAGATGCTAACTGTTTAGCAGGATCATAAGAACTAGAGCGGCTTACATCCACACCAATATTTGACTGAGTTGATTGAGGGAGATCCTACACACCCATATAAACAAGATATTATATAAAAATTAAGTAAATAATAACTAGTAGTGGGTCCAGTGTTGAACACAGAACTAGAGTAGAGAAGGCAGAAAAACCTAAAAAATAAAGAAAAAAAATATAAAGAAAAAGAAAAAGGGGTTAAATGGCTGCCCCACTCAATTCCAACTGAGTACCGTTCATGAACACAATGCTTATGTGTGCCTACATATCTATACACGCACAAACTCAATAGAAGAAGTTGGGGTACGGGGCATCAATAACTTACAAGGAAATTTAAACACCAATATTTTTTTGACACCATCAATTTATAAATCTACATGTGATGATTAGATATTAAAACTGTGCTGATTTCAAAAGCAATGACCCACTAGAAGACAATGACATTACTAGTAAGAATGAAAGTAGAAACACTATATAAGCATCAAATAACAAAATACAAGATCTATAGAGAAAAATTATTCATGAAAAGGAGGTAACACAGTATTATTCAATTGCATTGGCAAGCAAGTGTTCTCCTCCAATGGGACACAACACAACAGGGACTTGTTAAAATCTAAGGTACTAATTAAGTATCTGATCGATGTGATACCATAAGGGAGGAATTTGATGATAATAGAGCTCCATCATTGCCCTCTCCACTGGGCAAATCACTGGATTTCTTGATGACTGGAGTAATCGTACCACCAAATGTTTCAGAATTCTGGGATTCTGTTAGTACATCCTCTCTTTCATCATATCCACTATCATCAGTCCCTTTACCTCTGTAGACTGATGAGAATCTGGCCTCTTCATCAATATCAAAGTCTTCATGTAGGTGTATCCCTCTTTCCTGTGGAAAAATTGATAAATATACAATATATAGTTAAAGTAATTCAAAAAATCACGTCAATATAAAAAGGGGAAAGGTGGAAGGCAAAATAAAGACAAGAAAAGCATTCAAGCCACACTAACCTCAGCTAAATGAAGATCTTGGGTTTCCTCACCCTCAATTTCTCTTGCTATTCTTAAAGCTTGTTTTTCCAAATCTCTCATATGAGGCCCCTTTTCAAGCTTTGTTGTATACAATTCCTCATTGAATGTGCTTTTTACACCGAACAATGTTTCATTTGTTTCAAATTGATCCCATCCTCTTAAAAAATATCCACAAAAAAAAAAAAATCAATCTCAAACAAAACAAAGGACCTGTAAAAAATTGCAATATGGAGAAAGAAACTGATAAAACTCAAGGATATGAATAATTTATTTAAAAGGATGCTCCCTGCATTTTTTTCCCCTCTTAATTGTACAAAAAGAGGCACATCTTTCATTGTATTTTCTGCTCTAACAATTCTGATCCATCACAACTATAACTATCAGTGCTATAAGAGGGGATACTTTTCTCAGTGCGTTTCCCTTTTTTAAATATCCCATACCACATATATAAGAAATTATACTTATAAAAAAGGGAAGGCTAGAAAGCATGGGTATTGACATGGACACCAATCACAACAAAAAATGGAGTGTCGGTGTGTTTGATATGGGCATTCATCATGTGTTGGACACTAACATGACTCCTCTATTGAAGCATCCATGCTTCACAGAGGATAAGGAAGCCATCAGTCCATGCTTCGCAAATCATTTCAGCATCACCACTTACACCTGGACCAGGCTTTTAAAGCAATCTCCCATTTTGAAGTCAGACTACACAAATCACATACTATAGTTTCTCAGCCAACTTTACAGACTTAGGCGGGTCAATTACCAAGCTTCAAAAATAGACATAACTCTTGTTCATAAAAGAAAATTATACATTGCGGATAGACAGAGAAATGATGGTATAGCATAATAGCAACCTATTCCAAGCGCCATCAAATATATTTTCCAATTCAGGGCATTGTGGTTCATCTCCATCAGGTACCCATGGTAATAGTTCTCTCTCCATCTCGACACGACGAGCTTGAGATATTGCTGAATCAACCATAATCTCCTGATGCATTTCATGGTGAGCCTCACCACATGGATCATCCCGACTAACGGCAACATCCTACCATAGTTGAAAAGCCCATAAATTGCAATAAGAAATAGTTTGGCAATATTTTCACAGCAACTGCACCCAAACCTAGATTCCTTTTTTTTTTTTCAACAATTAATTACTGTAAAATGTCCACAAATTGCATGCTTTAAAATGAATGCCAAGATTTTCCTAGTAAAAGGTCATTTTTACAGTCATTAAATATTGGCTACCTTTGCCATGATTTGTACAAGATCTTTGCCTGATATAATTAAAGTCTTTGAAGGAGCTTGGCTCACAAATTCTACACCAGACCTCTTCCCTCGAACAGAACTAGCCTTCATTAAGCGAGCCATCTTCAAAATGATTCCTGGGGGGAGGGGGGAAGTAATGACAATGAAAGCAGTTAACAATGACAAATTTTTATCTAAAAACTAAATGAAAAAAGTAAGCGGACACTTATTAACTGTTCAGCTTATTCACTAGTCCACTTCAATATCACCAACATTAACAAAAAGAATAAGTACAAAGTACCAAAATCTTTGTCAGCATTTGCTGCATGAAAAATCCCAGAGTATATAAATCCACTTTTCACATGGACTTCCACCTGTTGCCCAATGAGGCAAGTTGCTATGTACAATAATCTATCACGTGAAGGACTCTCGTAATTATCAACTTTAGGGCCAGTCACTGCACCAGAAAAAGCAAATATCAGCAAAGTGAGCTAAATTGAACTAATAAATAATTAAGATAAGAAGTTCACCTGTACTTGCTAATCTGGTGGAATTTGATTTTCCAGATTGGATCTTATTCTCTGACCTAAAGGCCCCTTCTCTTTCAGATTTTCGGCGGCCATATCCATTAAAAGATTTAGGCTGCCCAACTTGTTGCAAATTCATCCTTATTAGCAGCCACTCCAACCTAGAATAGTTTTAAAGTCAACCTACAGCGGTACATTCATGCAAAGATGGCAATACAGAATGGACAAATCACTTCTAATTAAAGTTAATATATATATATCTCTCTCTCTCGCGCGCAAGCACATATGGAGCGTTTGATTTTACATCAAAGGAATGTATTAGAACCAAAAACATAATTATTGAATAGCACAAAAAAAAATTCTAAATCCCATAAAAAAAAAAAAAAAAAAAGTCACCACTTAGTAACCCGATTTGCAGCTACATTCATAGTCAAGCATAACAGTAAGTATGCTAACATGGGATTAATAGTCAACCTTCGAAAACAAAATATCATCTTTGGTCCTTTTCATTCCTCGCCACCAAGTCAGAACTAAAGAGGAGAGCAAAAATAATTGAATAATAGCACAAACAAAGAAGAAATCAAGCGAGCAAGTCCAATGACAAGCAACGTAAAGCACCCAACAGGGAAACAAGTTCTGAACAATTTGGTAACCTCTTTGTGCTTGATCACGACCCAATTGTTTGATTCCGCTACAAGTTCAAGAGATGAGCTGAAACAGAACTCTTTCTTCTAGGGATTGGAATGATTGAGGGTTGCTGCAAATTGAAGATAGAGTGGCCCAAGTGAAGCACGAATCACAGCAACGGAGGACTTCGAGAGGTGTGCTGGTGTGATCGAGAGGGAGAATGCGAGAGGTTTATGAGATTTTGATTTGAAGGGAAAAGCAAAGCGAGAGCGTTTTGAGGCAGACGCCCCGAAAATGAATGAAATTAGATGTTATATGGTGCGTGGAGTATTCATGAGTGTCATCTTTGGTGAACGGTGCCCTTTTTTATTTTTTCTATTTTATATAAAAGGTTTTTAATTTTCAAATAAAATTTAGATAAAATGATGATTCAATTGATTTGAGAATTATCATCAGACCGTTAAACGTATCCTAAGCTTAAAGCTCATAAATAAAAATAATAAAAGATTATTTGAGTGAAATAACGTTCAAATTTTTTTAAAACTTAATCTCATGACTGTAAGTTATAAAGATACCTTAGACAATCAAAAAATAATAATAAAAGATTTAATATATGCTAATATGATTCATTATTTATTTATTAAATTTAATCATATAAGTGTTTGGATTAAATTTATATGCTAATAAAGTAGTTAATAAAATTAATTGCAAAAGTCACGAATGAAATGGTGCCTACATTAAATGTTAAAAAAATTGAAAAAATATAGTCATTAGTTCATATAATTTTATTAGATTTTTTTTTTAATCTTTGTAGTTTTTTCAACATTTTCAATCCTTATAAAAATTAAAAATACTGAAAATATTAAAACTATAAGGACTTGAATAACAAACATTACCCAATTTTATAGAAACTTATTGAAAACATTAAAAAAATTAAGGATTAAAAGTAAAATTCAATAAAACTATATGGATCAGTGATTATATTTTTCAAAAAAAAATTATTTGATAAATTTTTATAATTAAAATTTAAGCAACAAAATATTTTGAATCATGTTGAAATGTCAAATTAATCAACACTGGATCATGGTAAGTTATGAAAAAATTAATATTCTTTTTAAAAAAAAATTAGGGCTTATTCTATTGTGTATGATCAATCCAAAAATGCCTTGATCAACTTACACAATGGACGCAGATAAATGAATAATACTAAGTTTTTGGATAATAAAATTTTTAATCTCTCAAATTTATTTTAATTATCAATTTAGTTCTTTAAATTTAATTTTAATCAATTTGATCCCTTAAATTTTTTTTTTTTGGGTCAAAACAGAGCAATTTTATTAATCAACAAAAAGAAAGTACAAACACCAATGAACGAAACCAAATAAAAACACTTAAAAAAAATCTAGAATACAACCCAACACATAACTAAACCAAAAAATAGAAATACAAAACAACTAACACGGAACAAGAACTAAACCAAGAAACACAATTAACCAACACCAATTTTCACAAAATCATTATCCTCCCACTCGCAGAGACCATTTTCCAGAACAAAAAAAAGAGAGGTTGGTGGCATGGAAAGCCATCCATTAGGTAGCAATCCTCTCATAGCACCAGCTGCCAACAAATTTGCAGCTTTGTTTCCTTGGTGAGACACCAAAGATAAAGAACAAGCCCAACATAATCTCGACAAATTAAAGCATCTTTGAAGTAAGTCAGCGCACCTCTAATCACACCCTTCTAAATTCATCTTCTTTAATCTGTTGAACAATTCCATACAATCAATCTCCAAAACAACTCCTTTTCCACGAAACCTTCCCACAGCCTCCAAGCTCAACATTGCTAAACATTTAGCCATAAAATCTGAATCAGTCCAAACCACTTTCCCTAATCCATCCATAAATAACCCTTCACCATTCCTACCAACCACCCCCCCAACTGCCTTCTTATTATTGTTACAGTAAGCACCATCAACATTCAATTTAATCTTGCCAGCTTCAGGTTTCTGCCACTTCATCAACCTCACACTTTGAGCATTCACAGCCTAATCCTTCTTCCTCTCCCGACACCTCCAAAATTGATTGGCCAAACGAATAGCTCTAGTTAAACAAGTCCCTGCATCAATATCAATCTTTTTAAAGATAAAATCACAACTAGCTTTCCAAATATGCCAGCAAATACTAGCAAATAAAGCTACCCTATAATCATCTAGGCCATTACCATAAGACAACCATTTCTCCAACCAAGCAAACCCAACTCGTCATTTTCCTTTCATCAAATTTCAGCCCCAACGGAGAACTAAACTAGCAGAGTTTTGCCTATTAACACAAGAACAAAACATGCTCAACAGATTCAACTTCAATTTTACAGATTACACACAGAGGATATCTAGCACAGTTCCTCTTGAAAAGAGCCTACTTAGTAGCCAAAGACCCCATGATTGCCCTTCAAATAAAATAAACTACATTAGGAGGCATTTTGATATTCCAGATCCCACTCTATAACTTCTTTGGTACCATATAAGAATTAGTGGGTTTAATAACAGCTTTTCTAGACTCCTCCAACTCAGCCACTCTATACCTTATTTTTACTGAATAAACACCATCTCTACTCTTCAACCACGCCCACCTATTCTCCCCTTAATGACAGGAATTTTCACATCACTAATTAACTCTTTCTCCTCATTAGTCAATAAACCCTCCACAATATCAAAATTCCATTTTCTATCAACAATAATATCCTTAACCTTCAACTTCTTAGCCTCTTCACTCAACACCCTATCCTGAAGACAAAAATTAAAAGTAAAAGGAATCCACTAACCTCCAAATAGGTCTACCTTGTCACCAGAATTAATCCTCCAACATAAGTCCTTTTGCAGCAAATTCCTCCCTTCCAGTATACTTGTCCATCCCCAAGAGGCCTAACTCCCCTTTACAACCTACAAAAAGATACATTTAAGAAAATAAATACCTTTCGAAATCCTACACCATTGATCATTAGAATTTTGGACAAGTCTCTAAGCTGTCTTAGCTAGAAGGGCCTTGTTAAACCTCATAAAATCTCTAAAACCCAAACCTCCCTCACTCTTCACCTTACATAAATCACTCTAGGCCTTCGAATGAATTTTCCTCCCATTCTCCTTTTGCCCCCACCAAAACCTAGAGATCATACTATCCAATTCCATAAAGACAGTCTTTAGAAATAAGAAGCAAGACATGAGAAATACAGGAATGGCATTTGCAGCAGATTTAATGAAAACCTCCCTACCTGCATATGTCAATAGCTTCTGTTTCCACCCCTGCAACTTAAGTCTCATCTTATTTTTGACAAAACTCAACACATCAAACTTAGATATGCCCTAAATCATATGCATACCTAAGTATTTTCCAAGGTTATCTGATATATTAATCCCTAACACTTTAAACACTACCTTTTTCACTTCATCAGTTGTATTTAGAGGAAAAAAAAAACACACATGATTTTTCACAATTTACCAACTGACCTAAGGCTCTACAATCATTATCAAGAATCCTCTTCAAAATCCTGCAATTTCTCTTTGGCATTTACAAAAAATAAAGAATCATCAGCAAAGAAATAATGAGACAACACAAGACACTTCCTCTCAAGCTTGGTACCCCTCAACTTTCCTCTATCAACATGCCACTAAATCATAGTTGAAAGAACATCAGCAGTCATGATAAACAAGTAAGGAGACAATGGGTCCCCCTGACGCACCCCTCTCTCCATTCTCAAATCTGTAATTTTCTTCCCAGACACCACTAAACTCATATTGACAGATCTCACACATCCTATGATCCACCTTATCCATTTCTCACTAAACCCCATATATCTCATCACATCTTCTATAAAACTCTGTTTAAGCCTGTCATAGGCTTTATTCATATCTACCTTCATAGCCATTTCAAATTTCCTATCTTTCTTTCTATTTTTTAAATAATGAAAAGCCTCATGAGCTATCAAGATATTATCCTGAATCAATCTATTAGGTACAAAAGCCCGCTAGTTGTTAGAAATAACTCTTGCCAAGATGCTTCTCATCCTATTAGCTAGCACCTTGGCAACTATTTTGTATGCAAAATTACATAGACCACTTGGTCTATATTGATCAATACTTTCAGCATTTTTAACTTTGGGGATAAGTACAACATTAGTTTTATTAACAGGTTCCAAACTAACACAATTTCAAAAAAAAAAACCAGTAACCATGCCAATTACTTCAAGGCTTGCCACACTCCAAGCTGATTGATAGAACATTCTTGAGAAGCCATCAGGCCCAGGAGCCTTAGCACCACAATTGAAATGCTGCTTCTCTAATTTTCTCAGCTGTAACAGTCCTTTCCAATAACAAATTATCAGCCCAAGTAACCTGCTTCTCAATAAATTTCAACACATCACCCCTGTCAATAATACCATTTGATGCAAACAATTCATTGTAGAAATTACTAAAAGCATTAGTAATATCTTCTTCCTTCTCCAACCACTTCCCATCCTTCTCCTTCAACCTTATCACCTTATTTCTCACCCTTCTTCTAATAGTATTAGCATGAAAAAATCTTGTGTTCTTATCCCTTAACCATTTGACTCTAGACCTTTGCCACTAATAAACCTCCTCCCTATCCCTTGCATCCTTAATCTGTTTGATCATATTTTCCACCTCAGCCTTCTTTTCTGCAGTCAATATTCTCGCATTACACTCCTCAAGTCTCAGAGTCAATTGTTCCACCAATTTTCGAGCATTAGGAAATACCCTCCTTCCCCATTTACTCCAAATTGATCTACATTTAATAAGCCGGCCAACTAGATCCTCCACCTTACTACTATTAGTACCATTATATAACTCCCAACCTTCCTTCACAGTCTGTAAATACTCTTCATGTTCGATCCACATAGCCTCAAATTTGAACATTCTTAGCGCCTTAAAATTCTCATATTCACAATCTACTAGCAACATATGATGATCCAAGCTTTCAGGTTCCAAGTGCAGTACTAAAGCAAATTGAAATTCTTCTCTAAACTCACATTTCCCATCGCCTGTCTATCCTTTCTTTAACGTGAGTAGCTCCAACTCTTCTGTTGTTCCAAGTAAATCTAGAACCCTTGGACTTAAGATCAAGCAAATTGCAATCAAAGAGCATGCTCTGAAAATTCATAGTTCTCCTCAAATCAATCGGCCTAGCTCCCCATTTATCCAAAATAGAAGTCACGTCATTAAAGTCACCCATGCACAGCCAAGTCCTTTGAATACCAGAAGCTATACTACACAACTTCATCCACACAATCATC